TATTCTATGTAAAAATAAAAAGTTGCGTATATTGATAGTATTAACTCGAAGTTGCTTTTTTCGCAGCGTGGACCTTTTCTTCGATATGTATTTTTTGAAAATGCAATAACATCTATTATATATGGTATAATCTAAACACCATATAATGTGTGTGCATTATAATTCATTTAAAATAATTCAGTTATTTAAGAAAACCACATTGGAACATAAAAATAAATTCATGCACTTGTTATATCATGATTGTTGCTCTGATATCAAAAAGTATAAATTTATTCAAACAATTTGTTTTAATGAGCGTTGACGGGCTGCAGAACATAGCAACATAATAATAAAATATCGCTCCACCACGTGATATGAAATGACCAATCAAACTGCTATGCTAATTGATTATCAGCCTTTTATTTCATCAAACGAACTGGCTCGTTCCAAAGACCGGTCATTGATTCAAAGAAATAAAATAAAATAACCCGTTAAATTAATTCTATCCAAACACAATTCAATTCTCTTTTGTGCAAATAATTCATGTGATTTAATGAGAGTTAAATAATCACAATTTTATGTTTAAAGTCATGAATACGAAATGATGACATTAAAGTATTAGTTCTTAAAACTTTCGACTGAAATTGAATTTGAATTTGAAACGGATATAGAAATAGTAGCACATCAATCAAAATAAACATAGACTTCTAAAACTAGAACTTTTTCCTCTAGTTATTTTCGAACAAGCAAATGAATATTCGAAAGAAATATTTGATAAATTGAAATCGAAATCCGAATTTTATTGAATGAATTTCATCATCACGCATGAACCTTTATTAAAATAGCGCCATATCACACTCGACGAACTTTTTGAATCTGGCAAATAAAGAAAGGTTCTGTGCTGTAGAATTCTTATTAATTGTCATAGTTTATTATTTTTATAATGATTGACTGAATTCCAATTTTTGAGGTTTCTTGAAACACGCCTTTACTACCCGGGAATTGTTGATCTTTACATTATCTCATTTATTTATTTTATCTAGATATTTATTAATATTTTGTTACATTGTATTTCGACATAATTTGACGTAGTGCTAAGGTCTACAAAGCCGACTAAGACTACAAAATTGACTAAGTCGACGAGACACAATTTTAGGCTTAGTCGAGGAAGAAGCCCTCTAATGAAACATCGTGTATGTAAATTCCATGCACCTTCACAATGATTATTCTTGAAAAAAATAATAATAACAAGTTCCGACTTGAGAAATAATCTAATCATACATAAAACTATTCACTGGTACAGTTTGATCCTCATAACAAATTAATCATTAATTCGTTCTCCCAAAAATTAATCGGTGACAATGTTAGCATGAAAAGGACACACACTACCATGAAATTAAGTGTTATTTTATGAATGAATGAATGAATGAAAAATATGATGGAAGAAATGGTGAATACAACAAGTCTGTCCATATTTTTATTCTCATGTTGAATGCAAATAATTAACTAATTAATTAAATTTCAACATGCTTTAATCCGCATAATAATAACAAATAATGTGTTACCATCATCAGCTAATAGAATTTGAAATCAAGTTTGTTAATATGTTGAAGTATTTGTTGGCGATGGTAGCGAAAAGGTTGGACATTAAAAGAAAGTCAGAAATTTGGAAATAAGGAAAGTGGGGCAAAGATTTCCAAAAAATAATTACCATTTTGGATTTTTTCATGAAACTAATGTTGGTTGAAGTGATCGCTATTCAGCTCAAGATATGTATGTATCATTAATGAAAATGGTTGATGATGATGAAATATAATTTCAAAAGTAGAATCTATTCAGGACTGAATTTCACACTATGCTATTTATGTAAAGCTGAGACATCAAAAATAGGCTATAAACCTAAGAGCTCTGATTTTATTAACTGATAATTTTTTACTTTATAAATTATAAGAAATTTACTTTTGGAGTTCATACCTAATAATGCAATTATTAAAATTAATTGTGCTTTTAAAAAATGTATAAACGTGTGAAAAAATTTATTAATTATACAATTTTATACCTGGAATCCACAGTAATACTATTTTTTAATCAACAATATTATTTAATTTGCCAGTTAAATTTATTTACAAATATTACTATGAATATAATTGAAAGAAAGTGATCAATCCACAATATGCTTTAATGAAAAGTTTACCAAGGAATATATATCAAAACCTGGGCCTTTTCACTTATCTAACATCCAAGAAGGTAATGTTTATTATGAGTATCCACGCCAAATGGGTTCTATGGAATTAATGTTTCTTCTCCTTGAAACTATCTGTAACACAAGTAAAGTATCTTGTAACTGATCCATCCAATGTAATGTTCTATGATTAATCTCAATGATGATGATTCATATGGAAAGACCAGTTCAAAAAATTTTTTCAAAGCCACACAACTGGAAATCTTATGTAATTAATACTGTATATTAGTAAGAGAATTTACAAGACATAGAATTCCTATCAGCTCCAACTGGAGCCGCTGCTCAAAATATAAGGAGACGAACAATTTATTCCGCATTGAGAATTCATTATATATGCCTTCTTTGTATTCTAAAGTCTATATCAGAGAAGATCAAAATTCCGTTGACATTTTATTAGTAATTTTTTGGTGTGAGGATGGGAACACTACTTTCCTAAATTTAAATGAAGATTCTTAAAAAAAATTTTGTTTAACGAAATAACAGAGAATTTACATGTATTCTTGTTTAATAGCAAATTAAATTAACAAAGTATAGCTCACCTCAAATAACAGCCTGAAGATTATTTTTTTTCCAATTCATGTTTTTTACAAGCCTGCTAAATTCCAGTACTCTTTGTTGGAACAACTCACAACTTTTTCATCTGAACTCACTGCTACAAACAGATCTATTCTTCCAGGATCCAGTCCAAATACTTTGCATCCATTCAAATCAATATTTGGTTCTTCTTCATCAACATCCACTTTATTATCATCAACTTTCTTCTGCAGACCAACTGATACTGCAAGATCATCAGTTTGTATGAAGTAAGCAAAGATTCATTTTGGGTGGTGACTTTATTAATATGGGGCATGTTGCAACAAAACCAGACAAAGTGTTACCAAGGATTTCAGGAATCAATAGTACAATTGTAATGTGATCATGATATTTGTCTAGACAAAATAATTAATATGAAGTTAATTTATATTAGATCTAGGAAACCCAAGAATTACAGCACCATTAGAAATATTTTAAAAAAGGAGCAGGGTGAAAAATTTATCCTTATATTTCAAAATAAATGATACTCAGACACTTGAAGCTTATCTTAGTAAAGAAAGAATTACTTATGAAATTTATCAAGATGAAAGAATAATAATAAATGAAAATATACTATTGCCCAACAGAAATCTTTTAAAGGAAGATAAATAAATCTTATTATTACATACTTATCTATTTTTTCTTTTTAATCCTTTTGGCAAAATAATAAATAAAATATTCATGGGACTTGTGCTACAGTCAGGGAGGTAGTACTTTTTCACCCATCCACAATAGAAAATTTTTATAAAATTTCCTTGCATTTTAGTAAATTGGTTGACATTTCTATCATTTATAGATGGATAATTGATTAAGTAATATAAAAATAAATGTTATTGTTATATATTATTGCAAGTGTGCGATCTGAGTTACTTACTTACCAGGTAATTCTTATGTTTGGCACACAGCTGGTTTTATTTTGCCCCAAATTAGCCCATAATTATACCTACTGACCCTAAGTCCAAATATCAACACATATCTGGTTTTCCTAGAACCTCTAAATTACAGCCAATGGCTCTTTTATCTTACAACCCAAAGTCTAGATAAAAGATCCCTAAGTTGGTGCATCCATGTATATTCCAAAGGCAACATGTTTAATAATTAAAAGAGTTCCCAACTAATAGTTAAAGGTTGGCCAGACCATTAATCATTAGAAGGGCTGGAATAACCACACTGGGTTTATTAATTAATTACAGTCAATAGACTATTTTATATAAAGGGTTATATATTTAAAAAGCATAGTGGAAGTTATTAGTTGATTATTATGTTATTATTATCAAGATTGTTATCAACAATATTGTTATTAACTTGGCCTAAAAAGCATAATGGATGTTTGTTGTTACACAACCTGTTATATAGAACCCATTGCTCCTGAAACTTTACCAGTATATACAGTATTGGAAAATCTGTTCAATTTGTGTCCAATATCTGGATCCGAATGTCCAATTAGTATTTGGAATTGGACATGGTGTAACAAAGTCACATTGGCATATTGGACAGTCCAATTTTGTGTCCAAATTACTATATTAGGTAATTTGGACACAAATTGGATGCTTGCTGTTCTATCCAATGATTATGTTTAAAAGATGCATCATTCAAAATTCTTCCAGAAAGAGCCTTCCTATTTGGATTCAGCCATTTGAAAAGGTATTTTTACTTCTTCACTTTCCATCCACCTGAAAGCCAAACCATTAAATACAGTTATATGAAGCAGGCGATCATCTAATATTGATTCTTCAGATTTTGTAAGAGTATGTAGCATAAATCTCTTAATATTATATTTATTAGTATTATTGCTTTGAAAAGAATCAAAAGACAAATTTGTGATGTGTTTATTTAGCAATGTTGATGATGATGTTAACATTGATGTGGATGCATTAGATATATTGTTATTGCCTGAGATAAAAAACAAAATAAGGAAACAAAAAAATTCTTAATTAAAGAATGAGGTTTATTCCTCACTGTTCTAATTCCAAATTAACACTATATTTTATATCACATTTTAACCAAGATGGGTCCAAGTGCTTACATTGCTTAGATTTTATTAAGGGTGGCGTTGATAAGCATGTTCAATCACTTGTAGAAGTTTACATCAAATTAATTTGAATAGTAATGCTGAAGGTGAAGATCCCGATTCTATTCTTGAAGATGACAATGATGACATTAAAGAATCTGCAGATGAAATTTTAGCCCCATGAGATGATACAATATGGCAATTTCTTCAGCTATAGCTTTTTTTGTATTTTTGTTTGATTACTATTATAAGAATTTTTGTTATGTGTAAAAACAATCTAATAAATAATGAACTCAAATTATTTTTAATCATTTTGCTACTGCATAAGATAGTTGTTACTTGGCTAATAAGAATTATGATAATTGAAAAATAATGGCAGTAGTAGGTTTGTAATTAAGTGAATTTATTTTAATATCATCCAATAAAATTGAACCAATTAAATTACAAAGTTTAAGAAATGATCTACAAAAAATTACCAATCATACAAACTTCTGCCTATGATTGTGTATATGTTTGTTGATCAAATAACAATTCTTTTTCTAAATAATAATAATATCATTTGCAAAGAATACAAAAAAAGAAAAAAATGATTATATTGTAATGTTGTTAATGAGTAAGTGTTTATGGCGGTGGCTATTGCCACTAGTTTAATTAAAAAATCAACTACCACATTTACTAATGTAAATAATTATACTCTTTCTTTTATTATGTATGCAATAGATTATCAGACTGCCACATAGGACATTATTGGAATAAAGTTATTCGGGTGAGCTTAAGATTAAAGTTCCTTCCTAAATTTATTATATAAATGGAGATAAACCTTTTGGTGTCCGTAGGCTGAAACTATTAGTGAGCCAAAAACTTCCAAAAACCGAATCTTCCCATTTTCTAGAATTGAGGTAATTATATTTAGTATAAATATCAAAAAATGGGTTTTAAATGACTTGAATGAACTTTTTTGATATTGTATAGCACAATGGTGAACTATCACCTCCATCAAGTGCACCAGTGATTAATGAGGTCTTACCTGGTGCATTAGAAAAACAATATGAGGAAGATGAGCAAAGAAATGGTGTTGATGAAGAGGCTGTTGCAATACCAGACATGTCAATTAATGACTATGAATTTACATACAAAGACAAAGAATTATTCACTTAACAGTAAGAATCCTTTGGTCACACACAAACCTCAATTTTGTGAAGTTTATCTAACTGTTGCCTAAATGTAGATTTAAGGCCATGACTAACGATAAGAAATGGAAGCTTAGTACAGGGAAATATGTTGAAGATGTTTTATATGATTTGGGAGTGAAATGCAAGTATCACAAGTAAATGTTGCATTTTACATTTCATAATGAATCTTTTAGTTGCTAAAGCTGCTAATCAACTAAATTTTTATTGTATTTCAGTCTTATACATTCATTCATTATAAATCCAAGTGACAATTTTGTCCAAACTGGATTTGATCCAAAAAAAATTAGTGAAATTATCAACAAAGAATAAGGTAATAAGATGCCTGATATAGACAAAAATCTTTTGGCTTATAATAACAGTTTTGCCAAGGTAAATATGAAAGATGTTGTAACTTCTGTTGTACTTAATAACTAAGCTAATTCTCTGTAAAAGAATTTACAGGTGAAATATGTGAAGTATTAAATGCACAACCCCAAAACTTGGCAAAGATTTTAATATGATAATGGATTTTCAATATGAACATGTTAGAACAACTGTAGCAGATTGGTAAGTAGATGGCAAACTATGATCATAATTTATTTTCAATAATTTAACCTATGTATCTTAATTGGGCAGGATTCATCTATATGAGACGATTTCACATCCATTATGCATGGAAATGCCAGAAAGCTGGTATTGTATACATGTATGGTGGACTATTGATATAGCATTTTCAGATTTGCCATATACCTTTTTAATAAGGTAAATAAAATACAATGAATTATAACTGTTTTTCATTTAATGTTAATGTTTTTCCTTTTTTTTAATGATATAGTGGCAAAAAGGCATGTTTGGCTTCCAGCAAAAGGAAGAATAGGCTAAGAACATTAAGCAATTTAAAAAAATGTAATGTAAAGCAATAGGCATATAGATGCCACCCAAATTAAAAATCCTGAACTAAATTGTGCAATCCAAATGCACAATCCCAAATGTAGATTAGATTCTTGTACTTGTTCTCCTGTCCAATAAGCATTACAGCATAACAAAGGGATTGCTGACCATCTTTACAAATTCCATGCTTATTGGTTGTGCAAGAAAACTGATCTACATTTGGGATTTGGGAATTCTAGTGATCACAATCATCATATTCATGAATATTCATTAAGGGTTACACTTATCAAAAATCCAAAAATCCCTTAAAATTATGTGTCAATCACTTGATTTTGATAAGTGTAACCCCCTTAATGAATATTCATGAATATGATGATTGTGATCACTAAATTCAACTAATAATAGAAAAATACATAATACTTTACAAAAATATAAGTCAAAAAAATTGTCAGAGCATTTGCGTGGGAGGAAAATACTCAAACCCAAAGCCATTTGTAAGTATCACCTATTCTTTGGGCATTCTGACATTCACAATTACTGCTATTATTAACAATATTATTATTACTAATATTTATATCTTTGTTGTTTTTATTATCTTCTTCAACTTCACTTTCTACCTTTTTCTTTTCCTTGTCAACCCATTTCTGAATTACTTCTATTGTTTTCCTTCTAGGATTGGTTTTTTGTTGGTAGAAATTTTTTATTGTGGAAGCAACAATTCCTTTCTTTTCAAGTAATTCATGAATTTCAATGGCCATTTTGTTAAAGGAAAAATCAAGATTCAATCCGACCTTTTTATCAAATAATTGCTTCCATAGATTTTCAATTTACTGTGAATATTTTTTATCACCAATAAGTATATTTGTTTTATTTTTAAATTGGTTTTTTCTTGGTTCTATTTTATCAATTATTTGATCTATTTTTGATTGCAATATAGAATTGATTTTTGGGTGAAGCAAGAAACCAAGAAAGAGTCCAATTAACAACCCACAAAAAAGTTCATAATTGAAAGTAAGCATTTTTTTTAAATGTTATTGTGAATGAAAATATTATTTGTTTTTTAAACAAAATAAAATTGCAGTTTAATGGTGATTATTAGAAGGATTTGTTATTTGAATATTTTTTTACCTGAAATAAATAAACTGATGATGTTTTTACAATGTTCCAATACAAGGCAGAGTTATTTCAATGTCAATGAGAAAAAAAACAAATGTAAAATTCGTTCAAACAACTTTTTTTCCTTATTGATAATAATCATTAATTATATTTGCATAAAAGCAAAATATTATAATAAGATTATTTTCCTTCTAAGGACTTCTGCTTTTTGTTAGGTAATAGTACATCCTCATCCTGCTTTCTTTTTCTAACATTTTTTATTTTTCTTTCTTCTTGGTAAATTTCATAGGTAATTTTTTCTTTCCTTAGATAAGCTGAGTATCATTTATTTTGAAAATGTAAGGAGCAATTGTCTCACCTTGTTCTTCCTTCAAAATACTCCTAATAGTACTATAATTCTTTGGTTCCATAGTAGATCTATGTAAATGAGTTTCATATTAACTATTTTTATATAGGAATAGTTTTATATATCACTTAAGATAACAAATGGGATATTATCTCTTAACAATCAGCAAAGTAAAAACAGTCAATCGACCAACTTTTAAAGAAGATTTTACAAAAACCACAAGGACAACAACTGGATTTTTATTTATAGATTAATCGGCTGGATCTCAAAGATAATTTTCGTATTAGAAAGTGATGCCCTCAGAAAAAATTTTATCAGCTATCAATAGCCAATTAACTATTTAGGGGATAACATTACATTATTAATAATGATAACAGAGAGAACAAATAAAATTTTAAACCAACTTTAGAGAATTGTCAAAGATTTGATGCACGAATGATACTCATCAAAAATATTAATAAAGTGATCCTCAAATCAAAATCAAATCAATTCTAAATCTACTAATAATTAACTTTTTTTATGGTAGTTCATAATTTTTTTTTTTTGGTTGAAGTTGCTGTTTCATGTGATCCAATATGATCAGCAGCATCATTGCCATCAATCTTTTCAATTACTTTTCTCTTGCTGCTGCTTGCAGCTGTTCCACCTTCTATTGTGGATTTCCTTTTATTTTGTTAGTTGAAGTTCCTGTTTCATAATCGCCATTTCTTTCTTTGCTGCTTGCAGCATTTGACCCAACTTAACATCTTCAACTTCCAAGGTAGTTTCTGTTTCATGTAGTCTCATTCTCAGCAACTTGTTGTACTGTTGCGTCCCTCACATTTAAGAATTTTCCATGTAGGGAGTGAACTCCCGCTATACAATGATATTGTAATTAGCTAATTACCGTAAATACGTAATTCGTAATTAACGTAATTAATTACCACTTTCACTCTTTAAAAACTTAATTACGTAATTAATTACGGGTGACGAAACTAATTACGGGCGACAAATTAATTACTATTGTGAAAATTTTCTATGCAAACCGTTGTTAACACTATACATGGGATGGTAATTGCCTAATTACCGTAAGTACATAATACGTAATTATCGTAATTAATTGCCATTTTTCTCTTTAAAAACATAATTAAGAAATTAATTACCGTATTGTGGGTGACGAAACTAATTACGGGTGGCGAAACTAATTACGGTGACGAAACTAATTACGGGTGACGAAATTAATTATGAATAACAACAAATTAATTATTGGAAATATCATAATACAAGTCACTCCCGTTATAACAACACTCTCCGTACAAGCAAAAAATGTCAGTATGACGAGAATGTCATTATAACGAGAGTTCATATAGAAGTCATATGAGAATCATTATCATGTGATTTTGTAATTTTATTTTTATTATATATTTTATTTTTATTTCATTCATGTTTTATTAGGAAATTTAAAACTTACGCTGGATCAAAATTGACTAGCATTATACAGAAGTGTTATCAGAATTTTCCGATCTTGATCCTGGTGTAAGTTTTATTTCCTTATGTTTTTTCAGAAATGAGAATGATTTTGATTGGTTCTCCCATTATACTGGCATGTTGTTATAACAGAATAAATTCTATAATTCTAAAAAAGTTGACAAATTATGTCATTATACTAGTATAACGAGATAAATTATAGGTGTCATTTAATTTTGTCATTCATAATTGATTTCATCACGCGTAATTGATTTCGTCACGCGTAATTGATTTCGTCACGCGTAATTGATTCGTCACCCGTAATTAATTTCGTCACCCGTAATTAATTTCGTAATTACGTATTACGTATTACGTTTTTGGCAAAATAATTACCATCCCATGTATAGTCAAAATACACACGAAAATTTACACTAAAAACGTTGATTCTTTTCAACAAGGCAACTTTATGCTGATTACAATAGTCAATAAACCAAAGCGAACCTTGTTCTTTAGGCTTCATTAGTACCATAAAGACAACTCACTTGACGGAATTTCAAATATATATATAAAACTTAGATCTGCTTTCATATTTAAAGTAGGTAAGATAGTTTAATGTTTATTTATTCTTGGATAACAGATGTAATGTAGTTTTAGCTTCTAATGTAGTTACACATCTTGATCTTTTTTATGACAAATATGTCTGTATTACAATTCAAAGAAGAAAGCAAAACGATCACAAAGGTTATCACGATCACAAAGGTTATCACGATCACAAAGGTTATCACGATCACAAAGGTTATTACGGTCACAAAGGTCATTATGATCACAAAGGTTATCACAATCACAAAGGTTATCACAATCACAAAGGTTATCACAATCACAAAGGTTATCACAATCACAAAGGTTATTACGATCACAAAGGTTATTGCGACCACCATCAAAGGTTGTGACTAACATCTATATTCTTGATTGGTATTATTTGGATAGTGTGTCTAAAGGTTGGTTGGTAAGCATCATCATAATTTATGTCATCGCCATATCAATTCTATCTTCAATATATTATCATAATAAAAAAAGTTAATTCTGA